TCATCAAGAGTTTTCATTTGAGTACCCACATGCATTTTTGATATATTTTTCATATATACATATATATAATATATATATATATATGAAAAATTGATGTGGGTACTCAAATGAAAGGTCTTGATGAGTGTAACATCAAGATGAGCTTACACTATCAAAAATATCATTACGTGACAAGATACAGTGTCATTTTTTAATTGTTGACATTTTTAAAGATATAAGCTCATCCCGATGTTACCCTAATCAAGAGTGGCTTAGATGGCTACGTTTTTCGCTCCTAGAAAAATATTACCATAGAAGTGCATATATACCTATATACAAACGTTAAACTTTTTTCTCGCATATTCGTAGTGAGCTATTAACGTCAAAAGTATAATTTAACCTTTGACTGCTAATAGTACGAGAAATCCTTCCATCAAAGCTAAAAGAGCAATCCAACTGCAGCGATAAAAAAATTCTACCTTCCAATTTTCCAATTTCCATTCTCATCACGCATAAAACGATTTTGTTGAAATAACAAAAGACGGGATAACTGAAAAATATGTCCTGGTAACAAATGAGTATGTTTATAGCAACAAGTCCATAAGTTGCATTAACAAAAAGTTTCAAGTTGTACTAACAAACCAGTTTGTTAAATCACAAAATAAATTTGTTGCTCTAACAAAATTATTTTGTTGCTATCACAAAATGACTTTATTGCTGCAACAAAATCATTTTGTTGCTGTTACCAAGTGATTTTGCTGCTGTAACAAAGTGGTTTTATTGCAATAACAAAACTAATTTGTTGCTTTTTAAATGTATACATATAAAATTTACTGTAACAAATTTATTTGTTATTCCAACAAATTCTCATTGTTATTTTTACAAATTCACTTTATTACTTCAACAAATTGTCTTTGTTAATCCAACAAATTTTCTTGGTTATTTTAATAGAATAATTTTGCTGTTTCAACAAAAAAATTTGTTATACCAACTAAAGTATTTTGTCGAATCAACTAAAAGATTTTGCTATAGTAACAAAACTAATTTGTTGTTATAATTTCAATAACTTGTTATAACCTAAATTTTGTTATTTTAACATATGATTTGTTATCCCTATGTTAACAAATTCATTTGTTACCACAACATATCTTAGGTTATCTTAACAAAATTTTTTTCTACGTGCACTCGAAAAAAAACCTAGAATTTCTCGAATAAAACCTATATAGTCTCACGAAAGTAACATTTTAAACCAACAAATCAAACTCCCATACAATTCTGTTTCCGCAAGCCCTCCGGCTACTGTTCTTTTTTTTTCGTCTCAAGCAATTCATCTTCCCACTTAAAACTTTTAATTGAAATTATGAAATAAAAATTACATTCCAGTAATAATTACCTATTTTTTTTTCATCAGTTAATTAAAAATTTTTCAATAAATTATCCGTTTTATAAAATAAATAGAATTTAATAAAATAAATAAACTATTAATAATTAATTTTTTTCCTAAAAATTAATATTTATTACTTGTTAATTAGTGTACTTTTTATTCAAAGTAAAAAATTTATTTACCGTGTTATTAAACTAATAAATTCTTTTTAAATAAATAAATTTATTAACTTTTAATAATTTATCTTCTCAGTACATATCTCTGACATATAACATGTAATAAGAGCAGATGTGTAAATATTAATTTCAAATAAAATTTATCGGGCGTCTGAGCTTTCGCGGCTAGGCGTCTTGCACTTAATATTTTTCAAAGTAAACACATATTAACCTATTTTAGATTTTTACGACGTATGTCAAACGGAGTAATCGATAGGTAATTTAACTATGTAAATTAAATTCAATTGCAAAAAAAAAAAATTATTATAAATTTTCACGACATTTTTTTAATATAATTTATTTTCAATCCTTGCGAAATTTTTTTTTTTAAGATTGCCCGTAAAAGTTGAAAATTGAACTCGGAAAGTGAGATTACGCGTGTAATAAAAATGTTTAAAAATAACAAATTTAAATCCCGACGGGTCATAGGATTCAATTTTACCCGATCGACTTCCTTTAAGTTCATTCGAGCTCGAGTTCTCTGCTGCTGAGAGTTCCATTCGGTAGCTACTGCATACAACTATATATATATATATATATATATATATATATATATATATATATATATATATA